CAACTAAAAACTTATATAAATATATGTATAACTCAAAGGAAAACCCTCTAGGATTTATAAAAGAGTTGCGGAACAACCCACATTTAAAACTCTCTACATTTTTGAAACACAAGATTGAAATCAATAAGGAACTAGAAGAAAACTCTTAAAACCATCATCAAATAGCAAAACTTGTATATATAACTCAAGAATGTCCCTACCTCAAGCTTAGAAGAGGAGATGAGCAAAAGGTTGTAACTCCAAAGTTGACGAAACCAACTTTTACTTGGATCAAAGTGAAGCTCTTGACGAGATCTACAATCTTTCTCAAAGGAGCTAGGCGAGGAGATGCCTCCAAGTGAGTAGATCTAAGGATCTTTGAGCAAAAAGTGATTTTGGAGAGGGTAAAAGGGTTTCACGGTTTGGGGAAAGAAAAAGAGGGGAAAAAGTCAAGAAGAAGTTAGGTGAGGGACCTATTTATAGTACTAGGTCAACAAGAAATAAAGTCCCAAAGTCAACCCAAAAGACCAAGTCAAAACCCCCAAAAGTTGAACCCAAAACCAGACTGAAAATCTGGAGAAAAGTTCGCAGGTGTCGACCCTTGCAACACAGGTGTCGACCCTTAGGAAGAAAATCTAGAACTTTTGCTGGACAGCAAAACAGGTGTCGACCCCCTCCAAGTCTAGTGTCGACACCAAAAAGCAGTAAGCAAAATCTAAACAAGGGTCGACCCTTACAGCAGAGGTGTCGACCCTTCAGGTAGAAAACAAAGAGTGCACAGGCATGGTGTCGACCCTTCCCAGGCTGGTGTCGACACCAAAAAGCAGTGGGCAATTTCAAAACAAGGGTCGACCCTTCCCAGATTGGTGTCGACCCTTGTGACCAACAAAAAGAGGAGGTGTCAACACCACCAAGACCGGTGTTGACCCCAGAACAAGATTTTTAAGCTTCCAAACAATTTTTCAACGTAAACAAGCGTGAACGAGCAATCCTAACAAGTTTAGATAAATTTTCACTCATCCAAAACCAAGATACAACAACACCCAAGATTCCCAAAACATAATAAATGATTCAAATACACTTCTCAAAAGCTTTAAAAAGGGTACAAGTGCTACACAAAACATGAAAGAAGGGTCGAAACCGAAATCGCTACACAACTCAACAATGAAGGAATCAATTGTTCCAAAATTTGGTTATATGGATGATACATTTGGACCACTACTAGGCCAAGCACAAAGAGTTCTCCTGTCAACAATACCAAGATATAGAAGCACACTCTCTCCTTAAAGTCTCCCAATCATTTTGCTAAGTTAAAAAAATAAATAAATAATAAATCTGAAGATAAAACCAAAATTGGTTTGTAGAAAGCAACGACGTCTTCTATGCAATCCTTTCGATATTTACCTTATCAAGACCAATCCGACACTTCCACAACTGTATCTGTACAATTTTGTACCAACATGTGTAATTCTATACTACATATACGGAATTTGAATTCAGAATCTCCAAAGAAAAACATTCCAAAAACCTGCCTAAACAATTCTACGCATGTGATATCTGTCTAGATATCACCCTCATAATATAATCCACCAAATCCTTCCTACTACAGACGCAGCTCTGCAGCTAAAGCAAAAAGAATCCTAGCCCAACAGAGGGTAAAGCAGTCCAACCATATAGAAAAAATTTCACAACAAAAAGAGCAAAAGGGAGATAAGAAGAAAAGAAAAACAACAATAACAACTGTATCAATGACAATAAAACAGCAGCAGCAGATACAAATACTATCTCACTAAATTTATTTACGGGATAAGATCTTTACCAGATTTTCCTTCCTCAACACCCTCAGCAGTATCAGAAACATGAGATTTTCTCCTTATATATTCTAAAGCTACATTCTGTATACAAGTTGGATTCTGTAAAACAAAAAGTGAAGCCCCATTTGGCAGCAAAGAAAAAAGAGAGGAGACAGAATTAGAAACTCAACATACTTTGTCAAAAAAATCAGATGCTCAATATACATGTAATTTAGTTTGACTAATCTGTTATAACAATTACTCCCACCAAATGATAGTTTTTCCATATGTACCATGAAATTTGGTCCCAACATGACATGCCTTTTGAGGAGAAAATATCCAGGATATTTTATGGGAAAGGAAAGGAGGTGTCCAATGGAATATCGACAATTAAAAAAAAAAAACCGCAAGAGGATATTTTTATGAACTCTTACCAATTTCCTAATCAACTTTTGATACACACATGTCCATCGTTGGTATGTTCTTCAATGTTTTTGAAGCCTTTTAGAAGACTCAAAAATTAAAAATTAAAAAAATACCAAAAACTCCAATTACCGTTCTTCAAGGACTTCTTTAAAACCTACTGCTTCATTTTTAATGAAATTTATCACTGAACTTTCCACAAGTATCCTGATTGATTCGATTTGATCCCTCTACTTCCTTCCATGGTGATTGACCCATGCAAAACAATGAAGACATTTGCTTTTAATACATTTTGTAATATTTGAATGTCAAAATGAAACCTTTGTACATCCCATGTTAGGTATAAATGGAATCACTAAACGAAATTGAGTGATGAAAGAAGAAGCTTTATTACTGAATTCCAACAAGAAATACATTATTGCAACCACTACTTTCTTCATATTTTCTCTTTTTGGATATGCAGAGAATTCATTAGACACCAGCAAGAACAACTTATGTGAAAGGAGTTGCAAAGAATTGAAACAAGCATGCAGCTTACAATATGTACATGAAATGTTGTCATGTAAAAGTGTAAAATAGAGACTAAAAAAATCTGAAATCTGGAACATTTTAAAGATAATAGAGACTCTTTTCATCCCCCTATTTGCCATCTTTCTGGGGACCTAACAAGCCAAGTTGAACATCACTAAGCTTGATTCAAAGTGAAAGATGCTGACAAATACTACAAAGCCACTGCAGTTTCATGGGCAATAGAGTAAGCAAGTGTTGTATGCCAGCAACTTCCAATCACTAATTCTACTAGTATGCTATGAAATGGCAATATATGTATGTTCGATTAGGCTAGTTAACAAGCTGAAGCTTGGTTATACAAATCAAGTTTCAAAATGCCTGAGCTCAATTTAAATCCTATAAACTCAAGCCTAACCAATTTAGTATTCAGTTCTGCATATCTTGTTTGCACCAATAGACATTCTTTTTATAAGTTGAAGGACCTTAAATGTTAGTAGCATTCTACCATATCAATGGGGAAAAATATATATATATATATATATATATATATTTTAAATTGTCTAAATCCACACACTTCGTACTTTTTTCAGATTCCAAACTTAACTCCAGAACCTATATACAATACACCTTTCAAAACCAACTAATGAAGACAAACTAAATGACCTCCACGTTAAGTAATCCCAAGTATGATGTATATAGTTTTTGCTTGGTATTGTTCAGGGTTCATCCCCTTATGGTGTTTTTTGGTCTATAAAATATTGTACTCATCAAAAAACAGAACAAGCACATTAAAGGTAACGCACTAACCTGTCAACAAAAGAATAAGCTAGTGCTTCAGACAAAACCTTGCCCATTGTAGTCTTTTCGGAGCCCATCATTCCTGGATTCCATGTTCCATAGAGTTCAATCACAAAAATAAATTGAAGTATAATTATGGAAGACAATTCTCAAAAGAAAACTCACCAACAAGAAACATACAACAACCGTTCAAATATGAAGCAACCTCCTCACCCTTTCTCTACAATCACAACAACATCCAGTTACATGGTTGTGAAAAGTTGCATCATATCAACCAAATCCTATGTTTCGAGAAACCCACTCCAGCAGTGCGAATGCTATTTTTTAGCATGATTTAATTTCTACCACATGTACCAAATTATATGTATTCGAGTATTGTTAAACTAAACTTATGATTCAATAATTGATATATCTAAAAATTCAATCCATTTAGCTTTTTCATACTTGCATTAAATAAATTTAATAATAGGTATTTGCCAATGGAATTCTTTCAAATTCTAAATATTAAATATAACGCTTATCTTAAAAAAAATTTAAATTAAGTTATTGAATTTATATTAAAAATACAATGATGTGGATAGCATCATGCTAAATTTGGCACAATGATAGCACACTGCTAGAGTTGTTTTTTTTTTGTTTTTGTTTTTGTTTTATTTTTTCCCCCCTTTTTGTGTCCATCTTGCTAAATTTTAGCAATAGCACAATGTATGGCAACTGGTAGAGTTGCCCTCAAAGTGAGATATGAACTCTACTGCTATTTCCTCACGAGCAAATCTCACTATTTGAACTAAAAGCATACCTAATTCATAAGGTGCAATTAACTCAAGAAATTATCTAAGTAAAAAGTAATTAAGGTCATTCAGGGGAAAACAAAAAAGAACATCAAGATAGACCTAAGCGGCCCATGAATGCTGTGTCAATTAGAGAAGCAATGGGATCATCAGCTAATGTCAGCACTGCAGGGAATGCAATTTGCAGTATCCCCACCCCAAGTGCGGTTTAGGGGTAAAATAGAGAATTGAGGATAATGAAATGTAATGAGAACAAAATTTTCTGGGCATTTTTTTCCCTAAACAGAGACTGTAAATGAGTAATTTTCTAGTGATATGGAAATTTTCTGGCTGGGCATATTGAAATGGGTAATTTTTTCATTTTGCTCGATCTGCTCTGATAACAGGAAAAACTCGACTCAAATGAGCCAAATATTTGTGTTAGGCATCTAATTAGAAAAGAAATTACAAGAAGAGTCCAACTACTTTACTTGTCAACAGTTTGTCCATGCAGTGACACAACACTACTACGAAAAAGGGGATAATCAAAATTTAGAGGCATAGAAAACCTTGATGCAAATTAGAAGGAAGATGAGCCTAGATGTTGGAGACATTCAAGACATTTTCCAAAGAGGAAGTGGAAAGTTTTTAAGGAGAAAATCAGGTAGTCCGAGGTTCAACAAAATTCTAAACACAATTTTTTTACAAATTTGAACAAAGCAGCAAGAGATCCTAAAACCAACACTGGAATGATTCTATTCATTGATATCAAAATCCAGTATTTTGAAGCACTTAAATATCTAAAATTTCTTCCAAGAGCAAAGATGGAGACAATGATCATAATTCCAGATAATGGGCTGTATAGTTAGAGGGAGGGGAAAGAGATGGCTTTGATGCATTATGGTAGCAACAAGCTACAACAAAGACTCAAATTCCGCTAGCTTTTGTCTTCAACATTATAAAAGCAAAGAATTAAAATAAATTTAAAAATAAAAATAAAAAATAAATAAATAACTCAGAAGTGTAAGTGAAACACAGTAAAAATACTAATAAATCTGTCTTTGCTACATAAAGAAATCAACTAAGTTATCAATTTAAACATAGAAGTATATTTTCATGCAGAGCAGAATATGTTTTAAATTATGGAATTGAAATAATTTTATAATTAATCCACTAAGAACTAGATAGAAAAGTAGAAGAGATAGAAGTAACAAAATTTAACACTTTAATATATCAATTGAATGGAACCAAAGTAACAAGATTGCATTGAAGGATGAAATTTTCAATCATCAATTCCAAATTTTGATAACCAAATCCAATATCTCATGCTCTATCCTCTTTGTAGTATTGTTTAATGAACTAAAGTTCATGTAAATCAACAGTAATAATTGGTTCAATCTTTGTTTGCTAAATTAAAACCAAACATTCTCATTCTTACCAAAAAGTGCACAGAATATAGTGCACTACTCTCCATTATTTCCCAAATTCTAACCGCAGTGATATATAAGGAAATTCAATCAATATAGCACACTGAAACAACTTTGATTTCTACTTTGAACCATCAACTTAAAGGAGTACTCAAATATATTAACAAATGGTTCTCAATAAACTATACACAACTTATTATTAACAAGACAATCAAATAAATTGACAATTCAAAAAGAAAATAAAAAGGAATAAAATTGAATTGAAAGATGGCTTCCTTCCTAAATCAGAGGATCAAAATTAAAAAAAAAAAAATCAGCCTATATCAGGAGAAGAAAAAAAAATTAAAACTCTTAGATGAAGATTACAATACCAGAGAAGGAACAAATTTTGAAATTTTATTGATTCTCCAGCACACAATTTGCAAATTGCATGATCATTTTAGTGGATGATGATGATCAAGACATCAAATTCCATGCTCAAGACAACCAAAATTAGGAGAGTAACCCATTTCATTTCTAATTTTTTGAGCTAAATGCTTGATAATCTACCAAATTCACAAAATTTACTAATTGAAAAAGGAAAAACACTGCCTTCAAACTCACTTTCCCCAATAAAAAGACCCCATTTAAACAATATCGTCTCATTCACATACAAATTCAACAACAGAACCACCCAAAATAGCAAAAAATATTCAAAACCCATGAACCATCTATGGCAAATCTGTGCAATTAGACAATGTTGATACCCAAAAAAATCAAAACCCACCTCTAACTTGAGAATCCAGATATAGATCCTTCTGATCTCCATACTGAAGAAAAGGGGGTAGCCAAAAAAAGGCAGAATGCATATTTATACTTGGAAGAGATTTTCATTGTTTGTTACTCAACTATTCTTCAAAAATATTATCCCTCAATGAAAACCATAGGGAATAATAATAACTACACAAGTGAGTAACACACTCACTTAAGATTTCAAAAAATAAAAACCAAAAAAAAAAGAAAAGCAAAAGCAACTCTAGAGTATGATACCTGACAAAAATGTGCGTTTACAATTCAAGAGCCTGCAACATGTGCCCAAGGTTATTTCCCCACACACCCAAAAAATAAGAAATTCACAATTGGTCGAGCATGTATTCGAAATATAGTATGAGGGCAAACTCTAAAAGTATGAATTCTTTCTTTTCATTTTATCTTTTCTAATCTTTTTATGGTTGGTAGCCACTTCAAAGAATACACGATACATTTAAATGCAGACAGGTGCCCTCAAATTTATTTCTTCACACATTTTAAAGAACCATGTGAGTAACTAGTTTAAGGCTAATACCCACACAAGAACATCAAAATTTGATAACAAGAGTACATTCCAAAAATAGGAAGAATTTAAAAACATGCCAAACAAAACAAAAGAGTAAAAACCTATATCACCTATGAAATCAAATTGTGCTATTATAAACAATTTTCCAATTATGAATAAAACTCTCAATCAATCATGCATAATACAAACTCATGCAGTAGTAAGAAGAACAATCCCCAAATGCACAGATTTGGCTGGCTATATATACATTGATTAAAGAACTCAATACTTACTCTTCACAACCACTCTAATGAATTTAATTTAAACTTGTTGGAGTTTATCCCCAAAAATCCCAAACAAATATTTAAACCCACATTTGTCACCCCAGAAATTATCATATTAACAACAAAAACTGTGAAAAATTCAATTAGTAAATATTTTGATTTCTTTTCGCTGCAACCAAACAGGGGGAAATGGGCATGCTAAGAAAAACGGAAAACCTAACCTTCGTTTCTTGCGTCTCTGTCCATTACTTTCTTCTTCTTCTTCGGACACAGACTTGTTGTCTTTAAGTTTCAAAGTCTCTGAAGCTTCCTCGTGAATCGCTTCTTCATCTTCTTCTTCAACAATGACAGCGTTGTTGTGGGTCCTCTGAACACAGGTATCGAGGAAAGAATCAATTTGGTCTCGGAAGAAGGGTTTGCGGTCAGACAAGTCGATGTCGAACTCTGACTCTAGGGTACGCCGGACGGAGCGGGCGGTGGTGGTATTGAGGTCGGAGGTCTGGAGCACATCCCAGAGCCGATTCACCAGCTCCGAATCCGAAACCATTTTTACTACTACTCGTATTCAGATACTCCGATCCGGTTAAAGAACTCAACCAAGAAAAAGAAGAGAAGAAGAAGAAAGAGTGAAATTGGTGAGAATATGATTTAGGGTTTGAAATGGATGAGTGTGGTGGAGGAGTAGAGAGTGACTTCTGCAAAGTGTATTTCATCTTAGCATTTGGCCAGAGTATTTCATTTTCCCGCCTAGTTTTATTTTGGTCATATTATTCATGATTGAAATTGTGTATTGTGAAAAGTAAAATATTTTTAATGGCCAGCATATGTGCGCCGTGAAAAGTATATTTTTTAATAGTTGATTTTTTGTGTGCCGTAAACATTGTAATATTTTTAAGGGTTGGCATTTTGTGTGCCGTGAAATGTTTAATATTTTTAATGGCTGGTGTACGCGTGTCGTGTATAGTTGATGTATTAACGACATGACATATGCACGTCGTAGAAAGTTTTATTATTTACGACTAACATTATAATTCGTAAAAAAATCATCATTATTAGCATTCACGGCCTACGCAATAGACACATCGTGGTTATAAAAGTATTTATGACGTGCAAAAAAAACAAATCGTAAAAGTGAGAAACTACGGCGTGCATTTATTGTATGTCGTTGATGTGGTGTCGTAAAAAGTCAGTTTTGTTGTAGTGGCTCTTGTTCCAGTTATTAGACTAATATTACTATGTGTTGCACACAAATATAAACTAATTTGTAAAAATTGGAACTCTTTGTTTTCATGTTTGTTTGAAAGTTGTTTTGAATATGCGTCACTTAAAAAATGGGTGAGTTTGTACATTAATCAATTTGTCCCAATTTTAGCAATTAGCCTTCATCCACAAGTATTCAAACAATTATATCATTTAAGCACTTAGCCTCATGGAAAACATGCTTGGCATGGCAACAATTACATTTATGCAATATACTAAAGCACAAAAATGCTCACCTCGTACTCTAAGGCAAGCCAAAAGAAACAAAGAGTTAAAAAATATGCATGTTCTTAACTAATGCAACGTGACTAATATAACACATGCGATATGCAATTAAATTAGCTTAGCTAATAACATGGCATGTGAATCAACTTGATAGCAGGTGGTTTGAGCACATTTTCAAAGAAGGAATAAATAACAATGTGAGTTAGAATGATGCGCCAAGCCTAATGTATGCAAGACAATGGATGCAAATCATGAGAAATGCTAAACGAAATATGATGCTCTAAACTATCCATGATAAGCGGGTAAATAAAAGGGAGAAAGAAATGTGGTTGGAAGACATACACGCATATTACACATTTGCCCTCATGCAAGAGGGTGCGGATCAATGTCCGAGTGTCCAAATTAAACTAACTATTACAAAACCGAATGAATGAATGAATAAGCAACTAACTAGCTAAGCTATAATTAACTAACTAGCTAATTTATTACAACAAAATAAACTAACTATCTAATGAATTATTGCTACGATAATACTAATTACAACGATAATTATTACAACAATAATGAGAGCATTAATTTACAATTTACAACGGAAGCACAAGAATGGCATGTACATAGCGGTTTCAGAAGTAACTGTGTCTGCCTTCCTTGGAATCTGTCCTGTTTCATCTTCAGTCACTGCTCTCTGTTTCTATAAAACACACTGTTTACCAAACATTGAAGGCCAGTCGGCCAGGCCCAAATAAGGCCGGGCTTGCCCTAATTTTGTGCAAAACCCTGTTTTGTGTTCTGAGGTGAAAACAGTGCAGACATAGTTAAACCATGATAATGAACCTCCGAAGAGATTAAACCATTTAGCATTGTATGTATCTTTCTCATGTTTAAACAACATTCAGCTAAAACAACTCTCAAAAAGAAAAGAAAAACCAAGAAAAAAGGAATGTTACAGAAATGATTATGCAAGATTGATTTACTACACAAGTGAGACTCTTTACATGGAATTAAGTAAGAAAGAGCTATTAACTCAAATGACTTGGTGTCTAAGGCCTAAACAATCGAAGCCATGAGGACTTACAACACAACAATCATAATATTTAAAGCATAAACTATTTAAATAAATTAAAATAGCCCTAAAATAGCCCCTAAAGTATAAAAAACAGTAGCTAAAACCATGTTAAAAGAGCGCAAAAGATAGGCAAAAACAAAGAGATACAAAGCTAGTAAGCAAAGCTAAGGAGATGTGGCTAACCCCTCCACTTTTGGGACTTCTAAACCATATTTTAGCCTCTAAAAATAGTCCAAAAATAGCCCCAAAACAGTGGCTAAAATCAGAGAAATAAGTGGGAAACATAAGGATATAAGTTTGGAATAACGTTCAAGGAAGGGTGGTTAACCCCTCCACCTTTGGTAGCTCTTAAATCACAAATTTCAGCCAACAAAACAGTCCCAAAATAGCGTACAAAGCATGGAAAAGAGAGGAAAACAGTAAAAAGATAAATAAGGAAGAGGATGCAAAAGTTATACCTCTTGAAAGAGAGAATGCTTGTAGTTAAACAAACTTGATTCCAACACCCTCAAAATTTATGAAATATGGTTTGGAACTTCAACAAAAGCTTCAAGAATAAGCTCTAATGGTGTATGTATTGTGTATGTATAGCTAAAGAAGGTTTGAAGATCAAAGGAGGAAGGAAGATGGAATGAGGTCTATTAGCTCTTCAAAGCTTTTGGAAATTTTATTAACCCTCAATTCTGAATGCAGAGGCTTTATTTATAGAATTTGATCCAATTTGATAAAAAATATCTTCAAAAAACAACAACTGGCGAATTCTCGCCAGTTGTCCTATTTCTTGCCACTAAGACCCGGCCAGGCTCTAAAACACATAGCCGGGCCCAAAAACACACGGCTGGGCCTAAAAAGGAACTTTGGAAAATTTTTCATTGAGACTCGGCCGCGTCTCAATGAGGCACAGTCAGTTCTAAATGGACCTGGCTGGATCCAAAAATCTACATTCAAGCCCGACTTTAAACAGGCATATCTCCTTCATCTGGACTCAGATTTAGGTGATTCTTGAGTCTAAATTGAAACCCCAAAAGTCTACTTTCCAATAGTATGGCCTCGCATATAAAGTCTAAGTGTGGAAAGAGATATGCCTATTTTAGTGAAGGTTGTTCATGTTGGAATGGTTATAAAATTCTGGATAAAACCAGAATTTTTTCCTAAGTTCGGTCTATTTTTTAGGTGGGCCCCGAGTGTCGATTTACTCGGGTCAAAGTGGTAACGCGTTCTATGCCGCGTTGTGATTCACGGGGTATATTTGGTTGCTCAAAACCATTACCGAGTGAATGGAAAATTGAAGCCAAAGTGTGCTCCATGGAAATAAAGTTTTGGTGGAAATTCCTTAAGGTTGTAACGAATTGGAGGATATACGTTGGGGACATTTGGCAATTATATTGTGACGGATCATCCAAGCAACGTGGCAGTGGGGTCGGCGTAGTGATCATGACTCTCGACGGGGCAATAATCGAGCAGGCAGTCAAACTCGGCTTTGAAGCATCAAACAATGAGGCCGAATATGAAGCATTGCTAACCGGCTTATGAAATGCACATCTCCTGGGTGCTCGGCATCTACTTATCTTTTGTGACTCAAAATTAGTCATCAATCAATTGAAGGGGGAATACTCAGCCAAAAACGACCGTATGGTAGCTTACATGAAAGTAGCGAATTCCTTGCTGGCAAAATTCGACCATCATGAATTGAATCAAATAACCCGAGATCAGAACACACATGCAGACGCCCTGGCTTGCCTAGCCTCCGCCATCAACTCAGAGATTAAACGGACAATTGAAGTAGGATTCATCCCTAAGCCAAGCATTGGCCTTTTAGAGTCAGTCCAGATCAATATCATGAAAGGACCCTATTGCTGCATTCCTATTTTCCAAACAGTTCCTGACGAATAAGAAAGAAGCACACAAACTGCGAAACAAAGCCTTGCGATATTACTTAGATCCGCAAGGAAAGCTCTACAAAAAATCCCTTTCTGATCCATACCTAGAATGCGTTCATCCAGATAAAGTCGAGGAACTCCTGATTGAAATACATGAAAATAGTTGTGGTGCCCATTCTGGCGGGTGCTCTTTGGCTCATCGAGTTGTGACACAGGGGTATTATTGGCCGACAATGAGAGCTGATGCCTAGTGTTATGTCAAGAAATGTGAACAGTGCCAAGAGTTTTCCCCTTTAACCTATTTGCCTACTGAAAAGAGTTAAGCTCTATCACCAGTCCTTGGTCGTTGGCCCAATGGGAACTTGACATCGTCGGACCATTACCTCGTGCCCCAAGCAACAAGCGATTTTTGATTATCACAACAGATTACTTCACAAAATGGGTCGAAACGGAGGCACTAACGCACATTCGAGATACTGATGTTAAGCGTTTTGTATGGAGAAATATCATAACACGATTTGGCATTCCAAGAGCACTTATTTCAGACAATGGCACCCAGTTTGATTGCGACCATGCATGATCCTAACTATACAGAAATGCCTAATGCAACACATGCAAAATGCAACTAAGATAGGCTCGGCTATTCTAAAGATGGCATGCGAAATGCTACAATTAACATGTATTCAACTTGGAATTGAGATACAAATGCAGTTAGTATGATGCGCCAAGCCCGGTGCATGCAAGACAGATGAATAAATGCAAACATGCTATCATAGTGTATGCTAATTGAAATATGCCCTAATCTAACCATCGTAAGCTGATAAATAAAAGGGAGAAAGACGTGGGGTTGGAAGACATACATCACACACGCGCACACTTATTACAACATTGCCCTCGCGCAGAGGGTCCGAATAAATAATACAGTCCCAAATGAATAAATAATACAGTCCCGAATAAATACGAAATCCTAATTAATACATTAATCTAGGAAAGCAATAAATTGGCACGCAAATCCATGGACCGCCTCAGCTCTGTTCCAAATGATGAATGATGCATGCTCGGGTTGCCTTGTGCGGAGAATCCCTTGCGATGCCCCTGTTTGCCTCTATTTGCAATTATTCTTGGAATGCATGCCAAGCTCTGGAAAGCTGCTGATTTCTGATTTGCTGCAACAGAGAGCAACAAAGGGGCATGGCAAAGTATTTTCACATATGTATGCATGACTACTCTTCAGGGAGTGTAGTCCTCAATCCTCGTGCCACCAATCACGCATCTCGATGCATGATGGCCGAGAAGTCGAATTGCATGACTCAATATGAAATGAATGCACATATG